TCAGAGCCTGGAGCCTGCTTCAGATTCTGTGTCTCCCTCTCTCTCTGCCTCTCCCCTGCTCACACTCTGTTTGTCTCTCTCTCAAAAAGAAATAAACATTAAAAAAAAAAAAAAGGAAAGAAAGAAATACTGAACTGAATGTAACTTGCAGGATCTGACAACATTAATACCTAACTGTAGACAGCATTGTGGCAGGAGGGGCTCTCACTGACTCACTCCTGAACCCTCACAAGCATCTGACCAGGGCACTATTATGATCCTCGCTTTGACAGACGAGAAAACAGAGATCTCCTGGTCTGGTAGCTTCCCCGGTTCGAGAAAAAAACAATCCTCAGCTCCAACCAGAAGTAGCTTCCTAAACTCGCAAGTACAATGTCATCTCACTCAGAGGAAGGCCACAAGCAGCCTCTTCCCCTCAAGCTGAGCCTAGCTAGCACTCGCTTCCGGAAGGATCCAGAACAGTCCAGGCCCCCAGCCTGCAAGTAGACAGTGGGAGGGGCCTATCTGAAAATTGAACGTAACCCACCGGGCTTGAGGTCCGCCACTCCTGCCCACTCAGCAGGTGTCCTGAGGAGCCGTGCAGACAGCATGAGGACACCAGTAAGCCCAGCTTCTGCGCCAGTCCAGGGAGGTGCAGAGGGGTGGGCGCTGGGCCCCAGGCTGGGGAGAAGTGTTGCCTTGGGTCACCTGGAGGTGAGGCTCTTGGAGAGAGGAGTAGGAATCGGGCACAGGCAGGGCTGGGGCGTGGAGGGGGCAGAGGGTCACTGGCAGAGTGGACACCAGGTGCATTCGATCCTCCTCCCCTGTGCTCCTCAGGGCCCGGCGTAGCGTCGGCGAGGGCACCCGTCGCCCGCACACAGGAGCCGCTGCAGGGCGGGGCTGGGTGGGATTTGAGCCTGGGAGCCCAGGGCCACCAGGGCAATGTTCACTGAGTGAATGAGCGAGGGAACGAAGGATTCGGGAGGAAGATGTTGAGCCGTTGGCCGGAAGAGCCACCGCTCCAAGTCGGGAGGGGACAGCAGGGGAGGCACTTGGGGGCAGGGGGCACGCTCCACCGCGCCCACCGTGTCTCCCGTGGCTGCTGCCCTGCCTGGCGCGCAGTGGGTCCTCCATCAATATTTGCTTAACGGCAAACACACGCGCGGGCACACGGAACCCCCCCCCCAAACCCCGGGGAGCTGGGTCCCCCTCCAGCCACGGGCAGCTCTACCACAGCCGAACCCCCGGCAGTAGCCACGGCAAAGCCGACTCGCTTCTCTTTGTTTTCTTTGATCGTCGCACAAACTCTCTGGTGAAGCAATGCTGACCACAGCCGCCTCTTAGAAACACAAACACGACAGACTCCGATCTGAGCACCTTATGCGGACTGACTTGCAGGTTTCGCAACCCGGGGCCCTGAGGTAGTTACTCTCATTATCCCCCTTTCACAGACGAGGAGACTGAGGAGCACGTGGCCATCTGCCCCAAGTCATGCCCGACAGCAAGAGGCAGAGGTGGGGATACAAACTCGGTGTTAAATAACAAACATTTTTTTAAATGCTTCCTTTTTTTAATGTTTTATTTATTTCTGAGAGAGAGATAGCGTGAGCAGGGGAGGGTCAGAGAGAGGGGGAGACACAGAATGTGAAGCAGGCTCCAGGCTCTGAGCTGTCATCAGAGCCCAACGCGGGCCTCGAACCCACGAAACATGAGATCATGACCTGAGCTGAAGTTGGACGCTTAACCAACTGAGCCACCCAGGCGCCCCAATGCTTACTTATTTTCAAGAGAGAGAGAGAGAGAGAGAGAGAGAGACAGAGTGTGAGTAGGGGAGAGGCAGAAAGAGAGGGAGACACAGAATCTGAAGCAGCTCCAGGCTCAGAGCTGTCAACACAGAGCCCAATGCGGGGCTCGAACCCAAGAACCACAAGATCATGATCTGAGCTGAAGTTGCACGCCCAGCCGACTGAGCCTGTCAGGTGCCCCTTGGGCCTGTGGTTTTCTTATTTACCTGTCTGTCTCCAGAGTGTTATTATGGGCTCTAATTTACAGACTGAAGAAACCAAAGTCCCTTACTCAGGAACACTGTGGGAGGCAGAATAATCGTCCCTAAAATGTCTACATCTTAAAAAAAAAAAAAAAAAACTTTTTAAAATGTTTATTCATTTTTAAGAGAGAGAGCATGAGCAGGGGAGGGGCAGAAAGAGAGGGAGACACAGAATCCCAAGCAGCTCCAGGCTCTGAGCTGTCAGCACAGAGCCCAGACTCAGGGCTTGAACCCATGAACCATGAGATCATGACCTGAGCCGAAATCGGATGCTTAACTGCCCAGGCGCCCCTAACGTGTCATAATCTTAATCTCCAGGACACGTGACAATGGTACCTCACATAGCAACAAGGACTTTGCACACATGATTACATTAAGGGCTTTGAGGTGAGACATTACCCTGGATTATGGGGATGAGCCCAGTGCAGCCACAGGGTCGCCAGAGACATGATGACAGAGCAGATGCTGGAATGAGGCACTCCCCGGAAGGAGGAAGGGACCGCAAGGGAGGGGTGTGGCTGCCTATGGAGGCGGAAGAGGTGGGAAAATGGGCCCTCTCCCGGAGCGCCCACGGGAGCCAGCCCCACTGATGCTGTGGCTCAGTCCGTGAGACCCGTTTCGGACTCCTCACCTCCAGACCTGTGAGCTGCTGAATTTGTGTTGTCTGAAGCCCCGACATTTGTGGCACTTAGTGACAGCAGCCATCGGAAGCTCATACAGGCAGTCAGCTCTTAAGTGGCAGAGGCGGGATTCGAACTCAAATCTTGCCGAGTTGAAAGCTCTGGGTTGTCTCTTGGAAGCATGAAGCCTGGAATCACTCCAGATTTTTTTTTCCCCCTCAGGGTCGCAGGGCAGTGCCTGGCACTAAGGTGTGCTAATGGTTATTATCATTACATTTCCTTTTTTTTTTTTTTTTTTTTTATTTCTAGGAGAGAGAGAGCGCGAGCAGGGGAGGGTCAGAGAGAGAGACACACACAGAATCTGAAGCAGGGTCCAGGCTCTGAGCCGGCAGTCAGCACAGAGCCCGACGCGGGGCCCGAACCCACGAACCGCGAGATCATGACCTAAGCGAAAGTCGGACACTTAACCGACTAAGCCACCCAGGTGCCCCTATCATTACATTTCCTTCCTGTCTACACAGTCAGTGTACATTCCTCTCTCTGCTCTGCTCTGCTCAAGAGCCTTCCATGGCTCCCCAGTACCCTCAGAATAATGTCCTTTATGGCAATGGAGAACTTCGGGGCCTGGCTCATGTCTCCTAGTAGGCTCTCCGCTGCACAACCCAGCAGACAAAGGCACTCGACCCTCACAGGCCAGGTCTCAGGGGCCACCTTGACTCTACTGAGAAAGCCTTCCTGAAGCTTGAAAACTTGCACATACACCCCCCCTCCCCTGCTTTCTACCCATGGCTTGTGAGTCTCCGGACCCTCCCTCACAACTGGAATACACCGGACACCATTGCTAGTCAGCAACCCCCCCATCCGGGGGCCACCATGCCCTGTGCTACCTTCATTACCATACCTGAATCCTCATTTTTGGGTCCCAGTGTGCCTGCCCTCCAGCCTGGAGAGCCACTGCGGCCAGGGGTGTCCTCTCTGTCCCCATGGATTGATGGCTTTTGGCCTCAAGGAATGTTCAACATCTGTCTGTCTCATCTGTGCTCTCGAGGAAGCTGACAGCCCAAAATTCTAGTGCTTGGGGCCCTGGGAACGCAACAGCACCAGCAAGGAAAGGTGGGTCTCAGACTCCTAAGTCCCCGAAGACTTGGGGTCAGTGGAATAGTATTTGGCCATAGAAAGGGATGCAGCGTGGACATGCCCTACAACGTGGAGGAAACTCAAAAAACACAGGAAATGTCCAGAATTGGCAAATCCATAGAGACAGAAAGCCATCTGCCCGTGGGCAGGGGCTGGGGACAGGAGGTGATGCTGAGGGCCTCCACTTGACTCGTGGAGAGTTTTCTTCCGGGGCGAGGAAAACGTTCTGGAAAGAGATAAAAGTGGTAGTTGCACAACCTTGGGAACGTACCAAACACCACTGAATGGTTCACTGTAAAACGGTTAATTTTATGTTTTGTGAATTTTAATCTCAAATGGAACAAAAAGGGGTGGGGTGCTGAGGGAGAGGAGAGCTGGACTCCCGGGTCTGAGGGAGGAGGGGCTGCGGGTCAGGACTCCTGGGTCTGAGGGAGGAGGGGCCGGGGGCCTGGACTCCTGGGTCCGAGGGAGGAGGGGCCGGGGGTCAGGACCTCTGGGTCTGAGGGAGGAGGGGCTGCGGGTCAGGACTCCCGGGTCTGAGGGAGGAGGGGCTGGGGGCCTGGACTCCAGGGTCCGAGGGAGGAGGCCCTGAGGGGTCCGGAGTCTTGGGTCTGAGCGAGGAGGGCCTGGGGACCTACATTCCTGGGCCCACGGGAAACAGGACAAGGCTGGGGCCCAAATGTCTGGTCCCCAAGAGGGGAGGAAACCAGAAAGCTGAGAGTTGTCATGCGGGAAAGAGAAAAGAATGGCCAGAGAGGAAGCAATTGCTTTCGGGGAAGGCTCTTCGGATGGAGATGTCAGCACCAAGGTCTCCCTTCCCACCCACCCTGAGCCTGCCCACTGGGGAATTCCAGCAGCTGACCAGAGGAAGGGAGAGAGGAAGGCGAGTGAGGGCGAGGAGGCAGGGTCATCAAGGCCCTACACCCAGCAGCATAAGGACGGAAGCTGCTCCCAGCACGGAGCCTGACCTGTGGGCCTGGACTGTGAGGTCCCAGAGGAGGTAAGAGCTAGGAGGCTGGACCCCAGGGGCTAGGAACAAGTGCATGTATTCTAAATCTTTTTTTTTTTTTTAATGTTTATTTTTTGAGACAGTGAGAACACGAGCAGGGGAGGGGCAGAGAGAGAGAGAGAGAGAGAACCTGAATCAGCCTCTGCTGGGAGCGAGAGCTGGATGTGGGGCTCGAACTCACAAACTGGGAGATCATGACGTGAGCCGAACTCCGACTCTTAACGGACTGAGCCGCCCAGGTGCCCCTACAAATGCATGTATTCTAGAAGGGACTCGGGGCCTACATGACTGGGTCCTTGAGGGAGGACGGTGGGGAGCACTGCGGCCTCAGACTATGGGTCCTGGGAAGGCACGGGCTGGCTCTTGGACGTTGAACTTATAAAGCTGGAGGAAGGAAGTCGGGGGGCCTCTCGAAGCTAAGGTGGTGCCTGCTAGGTTCTGAGTGGGGAAGTGACGGTTTGGGGGTGAGGTCTCGGAGAAAATGGTGGTTAGGCTGTCAGACTCCTGGCCTGACGCTGTCTTGTGGCTGCTCGGCTGGACTTTGCCTTTGCCACCACACCGCCCTGCTCCACCCCATGTCCCGCTCGCTCTTCAACCTCTCCCCCAGCCCCCGGCCCAGGACGCGGGAGAGCCAGAGGGAGAAACGTTTGGGATCTTCAACCTCTCCCGCAGCCCCCAGGCCCAGGACGCGGGGGAGCCAGAGGGAGAAACGTTTGGGACAGGTGAGCATTCTGGGGACACAGTGGAGGGCTGGCTGGGAGAGGCTGGAAAGCTGGGTTGGGGGAGGCCAGCTCGGAAAAACTGGGATGTCAGGGTGGAAAGATAGCTGGTAAAAGGCGGAAAATGCCCCAGGCTGAGAGCTGGCCTCATCAGACCAGACCCTCACCCATTGTTTCTGCCTGGGAGCCAATGGGGGCCCAGAGCCAGGAGGCCACCATCTGATGCATCTGGACCCTTAGGGCAGGTTCCTCACCCGAGAAAGAGAAAGAGAGAGAGAGAGAAAGGTTCGTGGCCCTCTCCTTCCCTGCAGAGCCCAGCATGTGGGGCTACCTGTCCCTGCTGCCTGCCTTCCTGGCCCTCTGGGCTATCTCAGGAGTCTGGACCGTGTGAGTGTAAGAGGCAGGATGACACCTGGGTCTGAGGGAGGAAGGCCTGGGGGCCTGGACCCCTGGGTCTGAGGGAGGAGGGGCCGGGGGCCTGGACTCCTGGGTCTGAGGG